TACAGGATGCAAATATTCAAGCCAAGATTTTTAATGCACTATTGAACGAAATACTAAATGTTTAAATGTTTAATGCAATGGGTTTTTTTGTTTTTTGTTTTTTGGGTGTGTTTTTGTTTGTTTGTTTGTTTGTTTTTTGCTGGTGGCAGCAAGCCTATATATCACAGCTCCTTGAAAAATGAAGTTCCTTGAAAAATGTAAATAAATTTTTAAAATTGGGTGGATAGATGATGATCTTCTGGTTCTACTGTAAAAAAAATTGGCAGCCACATTGTGGATGCTTCCCCACTCCCCAGCTGTTCTCAAAATGGTGGCTGGCCATCTGACGCCGGGATTACACAAGCACTCCTTGATTGGTTGCCGTGGACAGTGGGTGGGGCCAGCAGCTGGAGGCGGACCTGGAGGGAGGAGTTTTCAATTTGGTCCTCCGGCCCAGCACTTAATAGGAGCTGGGCTGCTGATAGCCTCATTTGCTTCTGGGCTGCGTTCCCCCAGCCCTCCGACGCAAATAACAAGGGGACCTGGTAAGGAACCCCTACCAGGGCCCAGGGTATGGGGTCAGGATTTCGCCCCTCCAGCTTGGGCCTTGCCCCTGGGTGGCAGGGAGACACAGAGTGGTTTATGCCCATGGGTCTCCACTTGATGCCATTCCTGCGTTATTGCCCAGTGGGAACTAGGAAGATATGAGATACATCAGGGGGCATTCGGGTCCGCTGATAGGACTGGATCCAGCCACAGTGCTCAAGCCAGGGGAACTGCAGGCTGTTATCAATAAAGCTGTGGCCTTTTTACTCCAATTGTTTGTCATTGTGTCTTATTTGGTGTGGGGAGAGCAGGCCAACTGGTGACAGGCCCAGAAATGAAAAGTCTTGCAGTAATGGCTCTCTTATTTCCCCCTAATAGAGTGACTCAGTGTTTCTCGACACCCTTTTTCTATTGAAGGCTGGAAAAATAGTGTGTATTCAATACAGACTTCCTGCTCTTCTTACCAAAAAATGGGCATGCCTTCTCTGCATCCTTTCCTTGTGACCTAGCATCGGAAGGACTCCGATTTAAATCTGTACACAATTTGAGTTAAATCCGGTATTGGTTGTGATGGAATGTTATTTCTTCCCCAATTTTCCATTCTTTCTGAAAATCCAGCTCTTGAATGTTCCCAGGCTATGTTTCTCCAGAGTCAATTTTGGGAATTCCCAGAAGGCTGCAGTGGGGAAGATGATTCTTCCCCTTCCATTTGTGTTGGATAGTGGCCTTCTCCCCGTGGAAGTCCTCCACTGGAGCCCATCCTTTGTTCCATAGCCTGTTTGAATATTTATTTCATTCAGCGATTCCAAATGGCAGATTTCCACACCCACCCACCCTTGTATTGCTGAAAGTTGGAAATCTAAGGGATGCATTTTTCATTTTTTTAAAAAAGTGCCTTGATTTGGACTTGAAGAGGATTTTATGGTTTGGCTATATGAGCATTCTTTTGTAACATTCCGTATTTGAACTCTGATGAAATGTGGTTTCAATTCTTTCTCCCTACCCCTCCAATCTGGAATCACTACAGACAGCAATAAGTAATTCAACTCCTACCCCCATCAAATAAGTCTGTTCTGCAAGCTATGTATCACACTATCTGGCAGAAAACCCTTCTGGGTTCTTTTTCAAGATTCATCGGAAAAGGCGATACCTTTTCCTTTTTGCTTTAGATCACAGTTTCATTCCCCAGGCACCCCGTAGTATTCTATTCACTCTCGAAACAATGCACAGCACACAGTTGGTTTAAAAGATACTTTACGGCATGGAATTAGAATTGTTCTCACAGCAGAAGGAAAGCATGACCCTCTCTGTATGGTCCAAAGGACTTCCACTGGGACATATGTTTTGATTCCAACAATTTTGAGACTGGAGTCTCTGGCAGAATATGTTTTAAGGTGGAGGCCCAGGCCAAAGATATGCACTCCTTTCCAAGTCAAGAACAGTTTCCCACGTTTCGACCATTTTGTGAAAGGGAATTAACCTTCCATTTGATGCTTTTAAATACCCTCCAGCAGAATTGTTTACTTCATTCGGTACTGCTTTGAGATATATCTCAATAAACAGGCCCATATCAATAACTAGTTCTGTTGCCCCAAGGTTCAGCTACACTGGCAAGCTGAATTGGAGTGTATTCTCGGAGTGATTCGGAGCTTGGCTGTGATCTTATTTGCAGCCTATACAGTGGTGCCTCGCAAAACAAATTTAATTCGCTCTATGGTTAATGTCATTTTGTGAAAAATTTGTCTTGCGAATGCATTTTCCCATAGGAATGCATTGAAATCTAATTAATGCGTTCCTATGGGCAAAAAAAGTCAGAACAAAGTCAGATTTGGTTTACAAAGGTTTTATTAAGTGCTCTTTAAAGCCATATATATTGTGGAGATGATTTCAAAAATTTCAATTAAAAAACTTTAACTTTTTAAACATCATAGAAAAACATTTAAAAATCAGCAAACATGAGGCAGGAACAAAAAACTGACAACATTCATCTTGCGAAGCACGGTCATAGGAACGTCTTGCGAGTCATCAATCCCATCGCCAAAACCATTCGACTTGCGAGTTTTTCGTCCTGTGAGGCATTCGTCTTGTGAGGCACCACTGTATTACATTTCAAATCACAGTCAGAGCTCACACAGAGGGTGTGAATTGTTTCAAAGTTCACTGTTCATATTGAATGCGATGCACATTCTAATCCATAGCCACCCCTTCTTTTCTTCTTTCCTCTGATCTTGCCCCTACTGATCCTTTTATGTGGTGTAAATATGGGAAATAATACGAATAATAAGGCCCCAGGGATACGGTGATAGGGTGATCTAGCGCAAATCTCATATACTGTATATAAGAACTTTTAAATGCCTTTTTAAAAAGGAGGATGTTGCAGGGAGAGGAAAGAATGGAGGGGTGTGTGTGTTCCCCTTGTTATGTATATCATGCCCCAACTGTCTACACTGCTGAAACAAACAAACAAAAAATCTGTTTTGGCAGCAAAAAGGGCTGGATCAATTTGAATCACCCTTTTCAGCATGTGGTCGGGAAAAACAACTTCACCAGTTTTATAAGTGGAAAAAAATCCCACTGACCATGTAGTTGCAGCCTCCATAATTCAGATGATGGTTGCAATCTGTTGAAGGCCATCTCAAAAGTTCCTGGTTGAGGCTATAGGAAACATTGACCTTCCAGCTTTCCTAGATCTGTCCTGGCTGTGGATCAAATCAAAGGAAACAATCATCTTCCCATTTCGGTGTGGTGCTTCCAGGAGTGGTTAAAGGTATTGTCCTAGCACAAGATTTTTTTTACCTCCATATTTTCTAAATTATCCTATGCTTGGGGATAGGTAGTTAGGAGGTAAACATGGGCTTCATTTGCAAGTCTAACTGCTCATGCAGTTCTAAAGAAATACCATGATGAATAATGCTGTCAATTTCCGATCATAAGCTCGGTCTCTTATGTAGTTTGGCCTACATTCCGGTTCTTCCCAGTCTAACATCAAGCATTCACTTGGCCACTGATTTTATGTATAAGAAGATGCTAAGGCCAGCGTGCAAGGGCCATGGGATAGCCTGAGAAAACCACTGGGAACGTTAACAGGAAGCAAAGAAATATGGTTAAGCTATGATGCTGTCATCCGAGTTTTTTGACACCAGGGTCATTACCTAATCTCTTTGGATAAAGCAGATTCAAGAATCACGATTTATCCCTTAATCTCTTTGGATAAGCTTGCAAATGAATGGGTAACTTTGCTTGAAAACACGGCAAAGTGGGAAGTATGTGTCGCCTCCCCCCATTTTAGTGGAAAACATTCCTCCCACTCAGTCCACAAGTCACTCCTCACAGGTGATTCAGAAGAGAGACAATGGTTTGAAGAGATAAGACCCACATTACCTGACATGCTGGACACCACCGCCATCCCCTCCCTCCCCACTGCTCTCTCGACCTCTGTAATTTAGATCAAAGTGGGAATCCAAGCAATCCTTCCTACTGTCCCTCAAGGTTCCTAGGGACTTGTTGACTGACAAATGAAGCTAAACAAAGAATCAAAATGAGCCCAATTGATGAGATATGACACGAGCATTCGTTTGGGGGAATAAAGCTCAGGGAATTGTTGGAAAGCGGGAGAGAGAGTCTGGTTTGTAATGCTTACCCTCCTTGTAAGATGTTATCAGGAAAGTCATCCAGTCTATATGCTGGGGCAAAAAACTAGCACTGTCCGGACCAAGCAGGCCAATTGGCTCTGTTATCTACGATGATGGTTCAAAAGACCAGGAAGTTTATTAGATTGAGAAAGACTGCCCTAAGTCAACATTAAGAAGGTTCCCCTTTGAATATTTGCCAAGAGTTACCTGCAGATCTTCAAGACAAACACCATAGTGAAGAAGTTCATGTTATGGGACCTTGGGATGCTCAGGGGAGTCCCCAGTGAAGACGGCAGCCAATCTTTCCCTTTAAGATGGGAGTAAAGATGATGACCCTGTGCAGCTGTGCAGGCCCAGGAGAACAGATGTTTTAAGCTGTCGGTTAGCCTTACCCTCAGAAAACATCTTAAAATATTTGAATTAGAGATGGGGACGACTCACTTCGTGAGTCATCAAAAGTTGACGACTCACGCCACATAGTTACCCCCATGAAGCAATAAATAACAAAGTTATTCGTCGTTCCGTTGGGGGGTTATTTAAAAGACACACACCACCCCTGATCCCACGCTGCCACCGCTGCTGTTAAGGCCTCCCATCTGGCCTCCAAAGCCACAGTGTGTAAAATGGGAGACTGGCTGCCCTTTGCAAAGATAGTGGCTGTGGCTTCACTTGGGGTAGGGAAGCTGCAGCTTCCATCTTTGCAAAGGGCAGTCTGGCCTCCCTTAAGGCAGGCTAAGGGAATCCAGGCTGCCCTTTGCAAAGATGGCAGCTGCAGCTTCCCTACCCTAAATGAAGCTGCAGCCGCCATCTTTGCATAGGGCAGCCTTTTTACATACTGTGGCTGCAGAGGCCAGATGGAGACCTTGGCGGCGGCTGTGGTGATTATGGTAAGGGGTGGCTGCCTATCAGCCTGCTGGTCAGCTGGTCAGCGGCCAGTAGGCAGAATGTGTTTTTTTTTTTAAAAATTACAAAGATGAATAAAAACAGGAAAATATTCATTGATCCATATTCATCAGGGCTTAAAATTTGATGAATACGGGTTGACGAATATTTAACAAATCGTCCATTTTCATCAAAAAAGCTGATCCGTTTTTATATTCGTCCACATCTCTAATCTGAATCATGTTTTATTGTATGTTTTTATAACACTGTAAAAAGGGAAAACTCTCCTTTGCTAAGGAGAGTTGTTCTTGCTAAGAAGAATATCATCAACAATAAAAGTGAACAATTAATAAACAGCAGAATAAAAAAAAGGAGTTAATCAGAGACAGAAAAGGATTGTTCTGATTTAAAGGCCTGAGCAAAGAAAATTGAATTGGCTCACCTCTCTTTCCCACTGGAATCCACAGGCTATAACTCAAGGCATATGCAAGTTCCTGAAGCAGCAAGGAGCACTATCTTTTTCTTTGGCTCAAATAGCAAAATATCTTGACGTTCACCTGGCAGGGCTTGTTGAATAGGTTTGCCATATTTGGGGGTGTGGGCTGTGGCATGGATCAACTCACATCAGATTGAGTTGCTAGTGCAGCACTGAAACAATCTGCGGTCTCCGTGGGATCACCTAATCCAAACAGAAGCGTGAAATAGGTTGCCAGTCAAGCCACGGCAAATCCAGCTTGCTTCAATTCTGCTTGCCACTGTAGATACATGTTTCTGTCACTACCTGTTTTTGAGAAGTCTGTGCTGTGACTCAGTAATCACCACCTTCTTTCTAAATGCTCAGAGACTAAGAACATGTCCACACTGGCAAAATAGCTCACTATTTGAATCACTTTTAATTTTGTTCGGTTTACAGAGTCCACATGTGCTTTGATTTCCAGCAATCTATCCGTTCCTTTTTAGAGCTCTCTCACTCCTTTTTGGCATAGTGTTAGGGCTACTGTTTTGTGAGGTTTTTTGTTTGTTTGTTTGTTTGTTTGTTTGTTTGTTTTGCACAATTCAGAGCACTTCTAATTAGCCCATTCGGTAGCCTGTGCAGATGTTTAGTCTGCACCAAAATACAACTGTGGGGAGAATTATCTGAGGTGACAACCTTGTGATGTATTTTGTGGGTTGTGGCATTAAAAGGGATGAGAACCTCCTCCTCTGTTTTCATTTACTCATCCATTTTAAAATTCTATCTATCTATCTATCTATCTATCTATCTATCTATCTATCTATCTATCTATCTATCTATCTATCTATCTATCTATCTATCTATCTATCTATCTATCTATCTATCTATCTACCTACCTAC